CCAGTTAATAATGAGAATTGGTCCTTAAGTAAAGTTTTACTCTTTATTGTACCATCATACTATGGAAGTCCGTTTCCGCCAGTGAATAAAAAATAAAAGAGGTAATTGCGACTTTTTATCTCACAATTCTGACTTTATTTTCTCAGAATTGCGTGATATAACCTCGCAATTCTGAGAAAATAAAGTCAGTGGCGGAAACGGGCTTCCATATCATACAGTATATACAGCATGACTATGGAAATTCATACGAGTTTTTTTTTATTTGCTTTTTACTATTTATTTTGTATTTTTTACAAGTAACTGTTACATTTCCTAAACTTGTAATACTAATAGCATTCACAGTAAATGCCTTTCATAAAGCTCTTACTACCAAACATTTAATTAGCATGTCTCTTCTCATTACCCTACCTTTCTGAACCGGAGTACACCTACAAAGAGCTGACCGTGCATGACCTTTCCAATGTGACTACGTTAAGTCGAGCTAGTGCAAGATGTGCATTTGTGGTTAAAAAGTATATACATTAGAATTTTTTTTTTTTTTTAGAAAATGACCTATCGTTTCGTTAGATAAGACCCTTATCCCTCGACTAGGATCGTGTAGAGTCCACTGAAGCTGCATTGAAAGTGTAACTTGGACCTTCAGCATCACTGACCACCATTGAAGTCCACCCGAGAAAAATCCTGGAACGTTTTCCTCAAAAACCTTAATTTCTTTTCGCCTGAAGACAGAAAGACATTAACATCTTGGATGACATGAGCTGACCGTGCATGACCGTTCCAATGTGACTACGTTAAGTCGAGCTAGTGCAAGATGTGCATTTGTGGTTAAAAAGTATATACATTAGAATTTTTTTTTTTTTTTAGAAAATGACCTATCGTTTCGCTAGATAAGACCCTTATTCCTCGACTAGGATCGTGTAGAGTCCACTGAAGCTGCATTGAAAGTGTAATTTGGACCTTCAGCATCACTGACCACCATTGAAGTCCACTCGAGAAAAATACTGGAATGTTTTCCTCAAAAACCTTAATTTCTTTTCGCCTGAAGACAGAAAGACATTAACATCTTGGATGACATGGGGTTGAGTAAATTATCCGGATTGTTTTATTCTTGGTGAGGATGTTGGACCTGGACTAGGCGGCTGCTGGCTCATTAAAGGTGGAGAACCACTGCTTTACAGCTTACAACACTCACTTACTAGCTATGACGAAATGTCTAATTGTTTATTTCCTCAGGCTGTAAGAACTTGGCTCGGAGTCAAGCAGGTCTTGCAGCATAGCAGGAAGCGACACTGGATTGACTGGACTGAGAGCCTCGTGTTTTCATAGCGCCGAAACTCCACGAGTAGGCTGTTTGTTTGGGGCGTTGAAGAAAACACGTGGGAGAAATATACATATATATATAGAGGAGTCCGAGGACATGGAGCGGCGCTTTTAAACTGTCCGTTATGGAGGTGGCAAACAAAGAGGCAGCCTGTCAAGTCTACGCAGTTTTAATGGAGCCCGAGCCCGAGACCGTGAGCCGTTTGAGGACAAAGTACTACTCACTGCGGCGACAGGTGTGTTTAATCCAGTCCATCAGCGTGCTCCTCTGCTTCAGCTGCTGCCTGTTCACGCTCCTGTTTCACGCTTTCCCGCCGAGCTGCACGGTTCTGACTTTATTTTCTCAGAATTGCGTGATATAACCTCGCAATTCTGAGAAAATAAAGTCAGTGGCGGAAACGGGCTTCCATATCATACAGTATATACAGCATGACTATGGAAATTCATACGAGTTTTTTTTTATTTGCTTTTTACTATTTATTTTGTATTTTTTACAAGTAACTGTTAAATTTCCTAAACTTGTAATACTAATAGCATTCACAGTAAATGCCTTTCATAAAGCTCTTACTACCAAACATTTAATTAGCATGTCTCTTCTCATTACCCTACCTTTCTGAACCGGAGTACACCTACAAAGAGCTGACCGTGCATGACCGTTCCAATGTGACTACGTTAAGTCGAGCTAGTGCAAGATGTGCATTTGTGGTTAAAAAGTATATACATTAGAATTTTTTTTTTTTTTTAGAAAATGACCTATCGTTTCGCTAGATAAGACCCTTATTCCTCGACTAGGATCGTGTAGAGTCCACTGAAGCTGCATTGAAAGTGTAATTTGGACCTTCAGCATCACTGACCACCATTGAAGTCCACTCGAGAAAAATACTGGAATGTTTTCCTCAAAAACCTTAATTTCTTTTCGCCTGAAGACAGAAAGACATTAACATCTTGGATGACATGAGGTTGAGTAAATTATCCGGATTGTTTTATTCTTGGTGAGGATGTTGGACCTGGACTAGGCGGCTGCTGGCTCATTAAAGGTGGAGAACCACTGCTTTACAGCTTACAACACTCACTTACTAGCTATGACGAAATGTCTAATTGTTTATTTCCTCAGGCTGTAAGAACTTGGCTCGGAGTCAAGCAGGTCTTGCAGCATAGCAGGAAGCGACACTGGATTGACTGGACTGAGAGCCTCGTGTTTTCATAGCGCCGAAACTCCACGAGTAGGCTGTTTGTTTGGGGCGTTGAAGAAAACACGTGGGAGAAATATACATATATATATATAGAGGAGTCCGAGGACATGGAGCGGCGCTTTTAAACTGTCCGTTATGGAGGTGGCAAACGAAGAGGCAGCCTGTCAAGTCTACGCAGTTTTAATGGAGCCCGAGCCCGAGACCGTGAGCCGTTTGAGGACAAAGTACTACTCACTGCGGCGACAGGTGTGTTTAATCCAGTCCATCAGCGTGCTCCTCTGCTTCAGCTGCTGCCTGTTCACGCTCCTGTTTCACGCTTTCCCGCCGAGCTGCACGGTAAGCCAGCGTCAAACAATCACTGCTCAGCGACCCCGTCAGGTTTATCATCGCTTTAGAAACCTTTGCAACGGATACCAGTTCATTTATATGTACTATTCATTCATGGCAACACTACATTACAGTATGTAATAACCGTTTTAACATAGATTGCATAACATATAAAATGTGTGTTATATGACCAAGTCTTTATTTGTTTGACTTTTTTTTATTTACTCAAGTTTACCAATAGAGGCTATTTATTATATGACAATACCTTAATTATGAGACTAGTAGGCCTATCTATACCAATCGATTTGACTGATTTAGCCTATTTGTTTTTCTTCTTATTATTTTTTGTTAAGATTCAAAATCTTACTAGTGTTAATTGGATTATAATTCATAGTTGAGCCTGAAATAGCTGCTAATAACTATTGTCACTAGTAGTATAGTCACTTGTAGTAAGAAATAAGTTACTAGTAAAACTAGGACAAGTAGCCAGTGACTGGATTGCATGCTGGTCGAAAGTGAATAGCTGATGCACATAGAATTCAGTGGCAAATTATTTGCATTGTGTTACCAGTAGCAGCGGAATATGATAATGACTAAAAGAAAAGGAATAAGTGCTATAATCTAATAAATAAATACATAATAATACATAGTTACAAGTGTAATGGGAAAAAAATATGCTGCTCTCTATGTGATTACTCAATAATAGCCCTAATGGGGGAAAAAAAGAAACATGCAGGTATGACAGAGAGAATCAATGCATTGGTTAATTTTAGGATTCATTGTGTGCATATTAAACTGTTTACATTTGCTCTCTTTTCATAGGAAAACGGAACTAAGGAGGCATCTAAATTTGGTAAGGTCATTATTTACTACTAAAGCTATTTTAAAAAATTTTTTTGTGAATATTGAATTCGGGGTCAAACTTTATTTTAAGGTCCAGTTCTCACTATATGACTTTTGCCTCAATAATTTCAATATTTGCTTCTTATTAGTTAGTTAGGACGTTAAGTTTAGGTAGGGGGTAGAATTAATGGATCTAAAATATGGTCAAACAGAATGAGGCATTAATATGTACTTTATAAGTACTAATAAACAGCCAATATGCTAGTAATGTGCATGCTAGTTAATAGTGAGAATTGGTCCTTAAGTAAAGTTTTCCTCTTTATTGTACCATCATACAGTATATACAGCATGACTATGGAAATTCATATGACAGTTTTTTTTATTTGCTTTTTTACTATTTTTAAAATCGTAACTAAAATAGTTAAGTAACTGTTACATTTTCAAATCTTGTAATACTAATATCATTCACAGTAAATGCCTTTCATAAAGATCTTACTATCAAACTTTTAATTTGCATGTCTTCTCATTCAGTTGAATACATTTGTCAATTATTTAATCAAACTCATCTAATGGTTAACCAGTGAATCATTTGGTGCATATATAGATTCAGTAGATATAGTTTCTATAGAACTTGTTGTCAATTTAGGGATTACCAAATATAATGAATTATTTTTACACTAAGTGATTTATCTTAGATGATAACCACTATTTTGTAATTGTGTGTGTGTGGGGTTCAAGTAAACCCTATGTTATGTTATAACCCATTACTTCAATGGAATGTCATAATGATAGGAATAGCAATGTGTGTTGTGTGTGTGCATAACCATATTTTGGGGAGAAACTGGTACCCAGAGGGAAAACTTGACAAAATCTTTGAGGATGTCCTTATTTGTAAAACTGTTTTGCAATTTGTGAACACACAGCATGGTACAAGGGAGAGGAATCTAGAGTACTTTGATATAAACTATGGTAGTGAAATTCATTCCCTCTAGTGTCGTTTTCAAGAATATTGTGGTGCTTCCGTGGTATATGTTAAACAACTTGCTAATATCATAGTATTTTTCTTTTTGGTATTTTCTTTTGTAAGAGAAGACTTTTCTGCTTCACAGCTGGGGACAAAACAGGCATTGACTTGGGTTTTAAAAGCTACATTTTTTAAGCACTACAACTGTGGAAAAATTTTAATTTTGTAATGAAGTTTTATTTTTGTTTCATTTTGATTGAATTTGGTCAAAATACTATATGCTATAGTGTTTTTGCCGTTGTAATGTATATGTTTGTTTATGTAATAATTGATTAAGGATTTGGGCTGTTAATGCAAAATTGACAGGTTCAGTAACATTACGGAGTGAAGAGAATGATCAATACCTTGTACTGAGGTGTGTCATGGGTGCTGTCATTAGAATTAGTAAGCTATAAGTTACTTTGTATTAAAAGGGTTTGCAATCACCAAATATGACCTTCGTAATTATTTGCATGAAAGATCATTTTATGTATTTGGATACATCTTCATAATTACATTATTTTGTTGACCACGAAGAATCAATAAACACTATTACATAAAGCTGTCTTTGTCTAAAAAAATTCAAAATATTTTTCTGGATTTTTACAGTATATCAGGTCTTTTTTTCTGTGATTATTTCAGACAACCACTTCAAAACAGTTTGGCAGATATTTAATTTAAGAATAATGTTTTAGACATTCAATTTATGCAGCATTAGAAAATGTCTATATACAGTATAGTGTATTTACACTCTAGAGACAAATGGTTTATTGGTGTTAAATAACATCACAGCTGGGGACAAAACAGGCATTGACTTGGGTTTTAAAAGCTACATTTTTTAAGCACTACAACTGTGGAAAAATTTAAATTTTGTAATGAAGTTTTATTTTTGTTTCATTTTGATTGAATTTGGTCAAAATACTATATGCTATAGTGTTTTTGCCGTTGTAATGTATATGTTTGTTTATGTAATAATTGATTAAGGATTTGGGCTGTTAATGCAAAATTTACAGGTTCAGTAACATTACGGAGTGAAGAGAATGATCAATACCTTGTACTGAGGTGTGTCATGGGTGCTGTCATTAGAATTAGTAAGCTATAAGTTACTTTGTATTAAAAGGGTTTGCAATCACCAAATATGACCTTTGTAATTATTTGCATGAAAGATCATTTTATGTATTTGGATACATCTTCATAATTACATTATTTTGTTGACCACGAAGAATCAATAAAAACTATTACATAAAGCTGTTTTTGTCTAAAAAAAATCTAAATATTTTTCTGGATTTTTACAGTATATCAGGTCTTTTTTTCTGTGATTATTTCAGACAACCACTTCAAAACAGTTTGGCAGATATTTAATTTAAGAATAATATTTTAGACATTCAATTTATGCAGCATTAGAAAATGTCTATATACAGTATAGTGTATTTACACACTAGAGACAAATGGTTTATTGTTGTTAAATAACCCCTTATCATTAGTGCATTAGCTCTCATAGAAACTGCTCTAATGGCATTTGCTTCAGAATTGCTGTCTGACAGATAAGAGACTAAACCTACAATTATCTGATTAGTAAGCAGCCCAGTTGACATTGAGGACCAGTTAAGTGGTTTTAATTATATATTTACATTGGGAGGAAAAATGCATGTTCAGTTTGGTTTATACTAAAAAAAATACAGAAAGAGAAACGAGACTAATTCAACAATTAACTTGTTAGTGAGCAGTCCTCTTGGCATTGAAGACCAGTCATGGCTAGACGACTGAGTCAGAGCACCTAAAAAAAAAAAAACCAAGTCTTGTGGGATTTTCCTGGCATGCAGTAGTTGGAACAACGTGAACCAGTCTTAAGAGTCATGGAAGCCCAAGGCCTGTCTAGTCCCATCACAGAAAAGAGCTATACTGTAGCTCAAATTGCTTAGAGACAAATGGTTTATTGTTGTTAAATAACCCCTTATCATTAGTGCATTAGCTCTCATAGAAACTGCTCTAATGGCATTTGCTTCAGAATTGCTGTCTGACAGATAAGAGACTAAACCTACAATTATCTGATTAGTAAGCAGCCCAGTTGACATTGAGGAGCAGTTAAGTGGTTTTAATTATATATTTACATTGGGAGGAAAAATGCATGTTCAGTTTGGTTTATACTAAAAAAAATACAGAAAGAGAAACGAGACTAGTTCAACAATTAACTTGTTAGTGAGCAGTCCTCTTGGCATTGAAGACCAGTCATGGCTAGACGACTGAGTCAGAGCACCTAAAAAAAAAAAACCAAGTCTTGTGGGATTTTCCTGGCATGCAGTAGTTGGAACAACGTGAACCAGTCTTAAGAGTCATGGAAGCCCAAGGCCTGTCTAGTCCCATCACAGAAAAGAGCTATACTGTAGCTCAAATTGCTATTTCCCTTAACCAGGAAATTAACGTTCTTAGAATTGACAAGACAGTTGACCCTGAGAGGTCAGCTAAATATCTACAGCGGATCTAAAATATGAATAGTTGATTATAACTAGTTATGGTTAATTATTCATATTTCCTGTCATGAGCTGATTCGTTACAACATTTACAAACTACTTACATAAAAGGCATATATCATGTCACTCTATTTCTCCCAATAATATGCCTTAGTAAGATCATATTTGATTTATAATCCATGCCCTGTAGTTTGTATTGTGGGGGGCAAAATATATAATCCAGTCCAATACAATGAGATTTGAGAGATGTACAAATAAACATTTCTCAAAAGCCTGTTGTATCAAATCTGATACATTTTAACATGATTTTAAAATTATATATGGATAATAACCTAAATAATTCAATGAAATTGGTATGTGGGTGTGTGAAAATATTCAGATTTAACCCCCTTTGTAATCATTAACATTTTCATATGTAACTGTAATTTAATTACTAATTTTTTTCTCAGCAACTAACTGATTAAATTACGTAAATCCGTTACATGTAGCTAGTTACTCCCCAACACTAACAAAATGTTGAAAGCCTTGTTTAGAAAGACACATATTTAGAGACTGTAAGATGCACTGTACAAGTACTGTTAAGGTACCAATCACCTTAGAAGGCCGAATACCCAGCTAATATTCAGTGACTAGGAGAGGAGTAAAGAGCTCGACTCATGACTTAGATTCACTCAATGTATTGCTTAATCAAATGGAGAATGTACTCGCTACTAGAGATGCACCGATTGCTATTTTCTTGGCCCGATTCCGATTTCTGATTTTCCGTTAATGTGATCTGCCGATACCGATTTTTGCAGATTCCGATTTTCTTTCTAAGAACTATAATTGACAGCATATACAAACAAAAATCTACTTTTCTTCAACGCAAAGTTTTACTTTCATAAAAAGAATACAAGTAAAAAGTCAGTAATAAAATAAGAACAAATAAAAAAATGGCAAACAACAGCACAAACAAATGCAATAGAATAAAGAGAGCTATGAAACTAAGTTTTTCAGGTTAAGTAAGTTTTTATTCAGGTAAGAAATACTACATAAATTAAAGTAATCAAATGTAAAATAACACTGGTGTTATTTTACATTTGATTACTTTAATTTATGTAGTCTTCATTGAAAAAAATTGAATACAGATTAATGCTTACCATTAAAGTTATAAAACGTATTCAGTCAAGAGCAGAAAATGATTTTTTAAATCTTTTGTTCTTTGATTAACATGACAGACAGCTGCAGGAATATTGGGCTGCGGTCCCTTTAAGAGTTTATCCACAGACCCAATATACTGTTACACAACATTTTAACGTTCCAAAACTTACTGTGTTTAACTGGATACCCGCCAAGACGGGCATTTTGACATAATTTTGTATGTATTTGAACGTTTTAGCGCAGTTAGCCACTCATTTGGGTATTTGTGGCTCACAAGCTGTTTGAGACTGAGCGCGGATTGTGCGCTCCACTAATATAGATCAGTGGGGGTGCGCGCGCGTTTGGTATAAGCGCGAAACCTGCGGGAATGTCTATAATGCGCAACACAAGCACTATTTAACTGGAGCGAATGAGACGTGTGTGAGAGAGAAGGGGTCGTCGGAGAGATGAGAGTGAGAGTGCGCTGCTGATGTTATTGCCTGTGCCGCTGGTACCAAATCGGATCGGCTCGAAATCGGAAAGAAGCGAGACTGACCGACCGATCACCGTTCCGGGCCGATCATGAGGAAAATCGGCCGATTCCGACCCCTGGCCGATCGATCGGTGCATCTCTACTAGCTACTCACACTTGTAGGTCAGTATATAAAAATAAAAAAAAAACACATAAGACTGCATAGACCTGTGTAAAACAACAAACAAACAATTTAACAAAAACAGGCGTAGGATTCAAATGATACAGAGATGTGGAGCTCTGACAATGACTTATGCCGAGTTCACACTGCACGATTTTAGCCCAATTTTTCACTCGTCGACAGGTTTTGCGAAATTGCAGACAAATGCCCGAAATAGGAGGTAAATCGGTGCTCATTCACGTGAGTGACAATCAGGCAGTGTGATTTATCACACTGATATCCCTCGCGATCTGAGGGAATCGCAGAAATCAGCTCACAGACAATTTGGCTATATATATATTTTTTAATAATTCCAGTCTCGCTCGAGAACTCCGGTTTGACGCACGCGGGTTCTCTCGTTATTTCCTTATCATTTCTCGCGTGTGTTTTGTTGTGAAACGTAGTTTGCAGACCAGACAGAGCTGTCGGCAGTTCTTCCTATTGTGAACTGAAGTCAGGCAGTGTGAAACCCCCTGTCGCCGATCCATCGTGCAGTGTGAACACAGCAGCAACTGAATGCTACCCCAGATAGTCAGGCAGTGTGAAACCCCCTGTCGCCGATCCATCGTGCAGTGTGAACACAGCAGCAACTGAATGCTACCCCAGATAGTCACGCAGTGTGAAAACAACTGCGATCCGACGAGTTTGAAAATCATGCAGTGTGAACTCGGCATTGGTGGAAATTAAGGTTTTCAGTCCCAAAAGTTTAATGGAAACACCCACTTGATGGAAGGAATAGGTTTGGGGACTTGAACAGGCAGATATCCATGGATATGCATCCTTGTATGTCTCATGATACGCTGGGTGTGTGATGTGATGACAACACTGGTGTAATTCATGAGATTTGTGATGTGTGTGGTTCTACAATAAAACAGATACAACTCAACTACTTTTCTTGTTGAGCAGGTCAACTTTACCAAATTACAAGAAAAAAAGTCAGAAAACTTCTGTCTGCTCACTATCTGTATGCTTTACGACCAATCCACAGCTTGATGGCCTCATTCCACCTCCCCTTGATACTTTACAACGTCTTTACCTTTGTCTCAGAACCACACCTATTCAGGAGATGCAAAAATCAGAATGCAGTGCAACAATAACAAGTGAAGTGACCATAGCATGTCAAATTTAGCTAGCAGCCTCGTTGAAGGGCTCTTCCTGAAGGGATCTGGTTGTTTATATTCGTCTGGAACGACCCTTTGTGCAGCGAAATTCCCCAGGTAAAATGTAATCATTTCAATCATTTCAATCAAAGAATATGTGAGATTGAGAATTTTTCCCCACACAGGTTTCACTTTGGATTCAAGTTAGTTGAACTTTGAACATGAGAGTTCATCATGATGACCAACATTGCTTCATAGCTACACTATTGACAATTTTTGCTGAAGTTTCACTAATTTGACTGCGCTTTAAATTCGGCATGAAATCATCTTTCTTTCCACATTTTGACGTATATATCAGAGTGACTGGCTTCTCAAAAGAGGAAAAATGAAGGATTCGATTTTGTCCATCAGGAACTGATTGGATCATTGTCGTTTGCTAATTGATGCAATCTCATGTGAAATGTTGTTAAGAGGGGTCCAGCTAACAGAGAACATTCTCAGAACTTTGGCAACGTTCTGGCAAGTTTTTTTTTATGATCGAATGTTCAATCCAGTGATGTTAATAGAATATTTGTTTAGAGTTATCTTTGAACATTTCTGCGTCCAATGCCAGCCTTATTTCTTATTATGCATTCTGATGCATTGTAAATTGAAGGCTTATTAATACTGTGAGTGAGTAAAAACATTTTGACCTTTTGTGTTTTTAATTTACTTTTTAAAGCTTTACACATAGACAACTGACACACCCACAGATATACAGTACTTCCTGTCTGATAAAGGTTTACATTGCCTGGCATGGTGAACTGAGTAATTATAAAGTTGCGACTTGTAAAAGTGACACTCCCTTTCTAGTGTGGTATGGCATGAAAAGGATTTCAAGCACATGAGTCAACACTGTAAGGTGTGATGCAATCGCATCCTGCTGTAGCAGACTAGACACTTTCTGGGTTGCTTTTGCAAACACTTTGATATCTGCTACTATATGCCATGAAGTGCTATGGTTGCATTAAAGATGCATTTTAAGATATTTAAAATAATGAATACAGTGCAGTTTACTGTGAATATTGTATGGGGGACTGGGGAGTGTATTTGAATGAGCAAACACAGGAAATTAGAAATGAATGACAGGAAATAAACACAGCTCCCCTGGCGTTACTGAAAATGTTGTAAAAGTAAAGGGAAAAAAATCTGTAAATAAGTCTGGATTATAATTGGATTTATCCTCTGTAGTACCAACAGTGACATTGATAAGTAGATTTCTAAATTACTTCAGGAGATAAAAAATTAAATTGGCTCAATAAGTTAGTATAAGGTATTCTGTCATTTACTCACGCTATTGTCCTACAGGTTACAGCTTTATGTGAGTAATTGACAGTATTTTCATTTTGCTTGATCTATTCCTTTAAACTAAGTTAAGTCAGCAGCATTTGTGGTGTAATGTTGACTAAACTTGAAATTTGTAGCAGTTTTTCAAAACTGCATGAAACCAACATGAATACAAAGTGTACAACTTTCAATTTGAAATACATTTTTTTTTTATTTTTCCTTTTCACTCTAGTTGTCATTGACCCAAACGTGAACTTATTATTAAGAAAGGCATGTAACCAGATCAAAAGGTTTGAAGATCAGTTAAAAAAAAAATCACTGTGAATGAATGTAGAAACTTCACTTACAGTAATTAAATGCTCTGGATTTTAAACATTGTTTCGCTTTTTGAGGAAATGCACACCTACGGTGCCGATTGTTTGATTTAATCAAAGTACTTCCCTTTATTGCATTTGAACAAAACCGAAACTTGTATGAGTGAAACCGTGACTCTGCATGTTTTTGTACTGTGTGTAGGTGTCAGAGTGGGTAAGGATATGTGACACTACAAGGCCTGTACTCTGTTTGTGCTGCAAATACAGTCTGTGGGGATTCCCCATACTTTAATACTAGCAACATCAAGAATATTTGATATAATGAGAATAATGATGAAATAGTTTTGTCAATATTCTTCTGTTTATATAATATGTACTTTAAGTGCACAATTCAAATGTGATTTGTGTTCAAATATTAAATGGGCAGTATATGGGCACTTTATGACACTTATCATTGAATTAGATTACAAAAGATAGCAACAGCTTGTCTCTAATTCTTAGTGGCTGTATACGTATGAAGTCATCACATTAACTATGAACATTTTCTTCTAATGTTTGACCAACATTTAAAGTGTCCAAATAGATTTTGTTTTAGTTTTGAACACTTTTTTTTATTTCTAAATTAATTAATAAATAACAAGCTTGTGCTGTTTCTTTAAAATAAATGCTCTTGTTGATACCAGGCCACTTGCTAATATTCTATACAAAATAAAAATCAAACTGTGATGAAATTTTCATTTATCTGCTACAAATGAAGGTTTGTACATACATTTAATTTGTTCATGAAATGTAATTTTATACCAATGGTCAACTCCTTCCCCCAGCTCCCCACTACAGCGTTTAAATTTAAATATAAATATTTAAACCCAAACAAGTTTAAAACATTATGCATATTAGTGCCGGATAACCTAGTAGTATGCCTTTACTGTCTACTGTAAATGATTTTTATTATTATTAAACCAAAATTGGTTTTTATTATTTATATAAATAGACAATTAAACATTGTGTACACTGTAATTATTTTTCAAAGTTGTAAATAAAACAATGATTTTTGAAGTATGTTTTACAATAAAATACTATTTAAGTTTTTCTACTTTTGTTTAATTCAATGTAACTTGCCGTTTCTTTGTAACTGTGAAATTTACTAGCAATTTCTGAGTGAAAATATTTTATAAACCATTTTTTTGTCAGTTTAATCCCATGATCATATGAGTATACTCAGTGAAACTTGATTTCTCACTGTATTGTATAAGAGTATCAGTGACTTTTCCCAGGAAAGGAAGTTTGAAATTGGAAGGATCGCAAAATGTTTGTAAACTATTTCAGTAGTGTAAACTATGCTATTTCTATAAAGCTTGGAATTCATGTGTAGGTGTGAGAACACAATTAGCCCAGTCCTGTTATAGGACACCACATTTTTTACAGTTCTTTTTTGGCAATCCCCACATTCTCTGCATTTTCTTATGTAATGAGAATATAACTGGTTACAGTTTGCTTATATCTAAACAAACAAACAAACTAACGATTTATTTTCCTTGATAATGACAGGAATACATGACAGATACTACAATTCCTTCCTTATGAAACTCTTTTGGGAATGAACATGATGCCATAGAAGATATTTTTATTGTTACTGTTATTAAATTATTTTGGATGCCACTTTGAATAGACAAAAACATTGGAAACCTTATTCAAAATATCTTTTATATATTTCACAGAAGAAAGAAAGTTATATAGGTTTAGAATGGCATGAGGGTAAGTAAAGGATGACAGAATTTTTATTTTTACGTGAACTATCTAAGAGACGACTAGTGAAACAAAACCAATCCCAGCATGCACCGCAACAAAGACCAGCATTCTGAGGCCTGGGCCTTTTTATTTGGTTGTCTCTTGGGAATCATGTAAAACCTTGAGGGAAGAGTGAAATACTATCAAGAAAGTCTTGTTGCTAATTTAGCTTCACAAACAAAACCATATCCATCAGCAGTCAGTTCTCAGTTCCACTCAACTCACAGCAAACACTCACACAGCTGACCATCTTCTCTCCTCTTACAGAAGATGAAGTCTCTAAACTTATTCTCTCCAGCCACCCTACCACCTGCCCTCTAGACCCAATCTCCTCACATCACCTACAAGCTATTCCCCCTGCATTTCTGCCTTCACTCACATACATCATAAACACATCTCTTCTCTCAGGCATTTTTTCCACCGCATTCAAGCAGGCTCGGGTAAAAAAACCTACACTAGACACCTCACTTGTTGAAAACTACTACAGGCCTGTGTCTCTCCTCCCTTTAAAAGCAAAATCACATGAACACGTTGTTTTCAACCAAGTGTCTTCCTTCCTCTCACAGAACAATCAGCTGGACAATACTCAATCTGGATTTAAAGGTGGCCATTCACTTGAAACGGCCTTGCTGTCAGTCACTGAAGCGTTACAGAGTGCAAGAGCTGAGTCCAAATCTGCAGTTCTCATTCTGCTGAATCTATCTGCTGTGTGTGACATGGTTAATAATCAAATCCTTCTGTCCACCCTCTTTTATCACCGGAACTGCACACCACTGGTTTGAGTCTTACCTCACAGGTAGGTTTTTCAAGGTGACTTGGGGAGGAGAGGTATCCAAATCACACCAACTGGTCACTGGGGTTCCTCAGGGATCAGTTCTTGGACACCTCCTCTTCTCTACAGTGCTGCTTGAAAGTTTGTGAACCCTTTAGAATTGTCTAGATTTCTGCATAAATATAACCCAAAAATCATCAGATTTTCATGCAAGTCCTGATAGTTGACAAAGAGAACCCAATCAAACAAATGAGATGAAAATATATATGTAAAATGTAAAATGAAAAGGAAAATGATCCAATATTACATATCTGTGAGCGACAAAAGTATGTGAATCTCTAGGATTAGCTGTTAATTTGAAGGTGAAATCTGTTCAGAGGTGTTTTTAATCAGTGAGATGACTATCAGGTGTCAGTGTGTGCCCTGTTAGTCTACATCCCCTCCACAAGCCTGCGGTCGGTAAACAAGTGGCGGCTTGTGGTCCCATCACAGAGAGGCACAAAATCACTCTCAATGACGTTTTCTTTCACCGTCCTGTTAGTGAAATGACCAAACTAACTCCATCTGAACAGCCGAATCCCTCACAATCTTCAAGAAACTACTGAAAACTGATCTCTTCCGTGAGCATCTAACTGCATCCTCCTAAAAAAACAAACAAAAATAATTCTATGCCTTCACCTTTTCTATTTGATTATTATCCTTTATCCCTTCCTTTGAACGAAGAATGAAACTTTGTATAATGAGCACTTCTCGTGTTTATTGCCATCTTTTGATAAATCGCTTGTTGTATTCCTCAACTGTAAGTCACTTTGGATAAAAAACATCTGCCAAATGAATAAATGTAAACGTAAATGTAAATGTAAATGCAAATATATAAACTGGCCTGACATGAATAACACAGCATTTTTAGTCCCATTTGCTTATATGGGTGAAGGAGGATTGTTTTGACAAAGTTGTTATCAGTATGCAATACTTTTCAAAAATGCAAAACATGTCAATAGGGAAAAATCTGGACATTTTAGGCATTTTTTTAATTAGGCCAGGACATGTCACATACTCTTTTGAGTAGGTACTTATTTTCAATAAGTAATTACTTCATGACTGCTAAAGAAGTATGTATAGTATGATGTACTATATTCGTCATGTCGTCACTGTCTAGCATCAGTTGCATCGCTTCACTGCCATTCACAAATCCTCTCCAGTGGCCTCATGGAACAGTAAAGTGTACATTGTATGCACACTGAAGAATCTCAACAGAAGCAGTAAGTCATCCAAGTACTTTTTGCCTGCTTTTTTTATTAGTACTGTGAATTTGGACATACTCCTTTTGGCACATACTCCTTTTCACAGACTATATATATTAGGGAAGTATGCGATTTTGGATGCAGCCAGTGTTTCCCAACCCTGTTCCTGGAGGCACACCAACAGGACACCTTTTCAAACTCTTCATTAATTAAAAACAGCTGATTCCATTCATCGTCTCATTGATAGAAAATCAAAGACCTAAAAAGAATCAGAAATGGGAGAAATCCTGTGTACAGTTGGTGTGCCTGCAGGAGCATGATTAGGAAACACTGCCCTATCATAACCTCACATTTATTACAGTACCTTTAAATGACAGCATGTGATTTGGTAATGTACATTTTGACAACAATTTAATTTAATATAAAATTCACATGAAATTTAATTTCCATCAATATTTAGCTTGAATGTCAAAATATGTGATCAGTTTTTATTGATTTATTTATTTTAACTTCCAGCCAAACTGTTTGGAAAAGTATTGTAATTAAGCAACACAAGTCAGAAACAAGTCAGTGCCATTCATTTCATAACCTTCAAAATCTGACAGGATAGAAACACTAAACATGATTTTAATTTGCTGCTCATGAAGGGGAAGTTTCAACACTAATTATTATACCTTGTGACCATCTCTATGCCAAATATTTGTGTATGACTTAGTTGAAGAACTAAGCGTCTTATTAAATGACTATTAGGTTTACAAAGTCAATCTTATATGGTTATGAAGTTTATAATTAATTTATTCCTTTTTAAAAATATAATATTTTATTACAGATAATAAATGCAAAACATCGTGATACTAGATATTACTATCTGTTATTGGTACAGTATTACAAATATGCTGCTTTTTGGATGTGAAAACATCTTTAACACTCTTATATGTGATGTCCTGCAGTGGACAGATCATAAAAACACATTTTAACCATTCAGGATGTGATGATCTTTGACCTTTACCCTTTATTCAATATGACTGATCACACAAACTCAAAACAATTACTAATATGTTTTATTGAAGTAGATAAATGGGTAACTATATATAATATATAGAATTTTGACAAGAAATGAAAATGATTATATTACTGTTTTTGAAGGAAATTTGAATATGAATAAGAAACATTTTTATTCGAGTTTAATCAGTGTCTGTGCTTTTTTTTTTGTATGTGTTTTGATGTGATAAATTGTAAGCAACATATTTCTACTCATGCAGTCACACACAAAAAAAGAAAATGATCACAAAGCTGTTCATAGAACAGCTTTCAAATTTGAAAGTATTCACCTGTCATTCACTTTTGGAGATGAGTTGCGTGAGTCTGTCAAAATTGCCTTAGGAAATGGCAGTCAGTAATGATGTAGACATTGACGACTCAATCAGGGTGGAGTCCTATGTTTTCTTGCTTGTTCGATAAGTCATTTACCTAATATAACAAACAAAAATGTCTTTACAGTTGTAATATTTTTTTGTCTTTTTTGTGATTTAAAAAAAAAATGAAATTGTTAAAATGACAGTGACAGGCTGAACTAGAAAATGTTCTATTTTTTTGTGTAGGCTTAAACTATTAATAGTTTCATTTTGATGGTTTCATGCTCTTTGCAGCTAATAATCAATGGGGATTGTTTTGACAAAGTTGTTATGAGTATGCAAAACTTGCTTTGCATGTCAATAGGGGAAAATCCTGACATTTTAGGCTATTTTTTTTTCATTAGGCCAGGACATGTCAGGGACCCAATCACAGTGGCTTCGTCCAAAATCGCATACTCCCTTGGTACTTATTTTGAATAATTACTTCATGACTGCTAAAGAAGTATGTTCTATATGTAATCTGGACGTACTATATATCATGTTGTCACTGTCATCAGCTGCATCGCTTCACTGCCATTTACAAATCCTCTCCCATGGCCTCATGGGACAGTAAAGTGTCCATCGTATGCGCACTGAACCAGTGTCTGTGCTTATGTTTTGATGTGACACCTTTTAAGCAACATATTTCTACTCATGCAGTCACACACACACACACACACAAAGAAAATAATCACAAAGCTGTTGACAGAACAACTTTCAAATGTGAAAGTATTCACCTGCCATCCACTTTTGGAGATGAATTGTGTGCGTGAGTCAATCAAAGTTACATTAGGAAATGGCAGTCAGTAATGACGTAGACATTGATGACTAAATCAGGGCGGAGTCCTATGTTTTCTTTCTTGTTTGATAAGTCATTTACAATACAGAAGTAAGTCACACCTTTGTTTATATAACAAACAAAAATGTCTTTACAATTGTAATCTTTTTTGCCTTTTTTGGGATTTTTTTCAAAATAAAAATTTGATTAAATTATTAAAATGACAGTAACGGGCTGTCACTGTCATTTTTGTGTAGGCATAAACTATTAAATAATAGTTGAATTTTGATGGCTTCATGCTCTTTGTGGCTAATAATTAAAATATATATATTGAGTTTGACATAAACAATGTTATTGTTATAGCCACAGCCATATCACCCTGTAGCCCAAAACTGGTTGCCCACTGAAGCTAAGCAGGGTTGAGCCCGGTCAGTACCTGGATGGGAGACCTCCTGAGAAAACTAGGTTGCTGCTGGAAGAGGTGTTAGTGAGACCAGCAGGGGGTGCTCACCCTGTGGTCTGTGTGGGTCCCAATGCCCCACTATAGTGACGGTGCTTTTTACAGTGCAGACCATCTAAAATGGACTAAAACATGCCCCTTTCAATGAATTAATTACATGTCATCTCTGATTTATTTACTGGGGTGATGTTTAGAGACACAGACAGAAGGAAATAGTGTCTGTGGCATCCTTGACTTTTAATGTCTTAACTTTAAGTGTAATAGATGGGTTTGTATTTAGTGTAACAGTCATAACAGAAAATGGCAAGACTCATTTTCAAGTTGAGGTATAGGGGCTATTATGCGTCTTTGTGACACAGTTAGACAGGATCATAGACAGGCTAGAAAAAGCTCTAAAGTACATCACAATCTCAGTTTAAACACTCTCTTGACATTCATTTAATTATCTTATAGTGTATTTGTTCATGTTTTCCTGCGAACACTCGCAGGCATGTTTGACCAAACTCTGAGAATAGTCTTCATCTAAAAACCGTACAAAAACAATGAAAAAGATACACAGCTGGTGGGGCAGACAATCAAAATCAACATTAAAAAAACTTTCACAATAGTTTAGAAGAGAGGAATTTAGTATTAGGTATTTGTTATACTGATACGTATTTCTGTTGTGCAAACATATTTCCTGTATAAAAGAGTATGTCTATAACCTTTTCAAGGGCATGCAGTGTAATCTTATGCTTCTTAACCATAATCACATTACAACAAGGTGACAACAAACTTTAAAGAATGTGCGGCTTTCAGTGCACTTTTTTTTATTTGTTTCAGTTGTAATAGTTTTAAGGGTAAAACAGCTAGACTTAATTTTTGTGCTTCATGTGATCGCATTTTGTGGACAGACGCAAAGTTGCACTAAAATAAATATCTCAAAGAGAAAAAAATTTAACTTAATTTCTTAATATTAATTTATTCCTATTATGATGACAGCTCACAAAGAGATGTCTTCACTTAAAAACATAGAAATCAGGTCCGAGAACCATACTCGGACCAGCCAGAACGGGGCTATCAACAGTAGACGGACCCCGTCCTGGCACACTCTGTCCAGAACTCCCGGGAGCAGAGTGATCGGGGAAAAAGGCGTACAGATGAAGCCTCGGCCACGTCTGTACCATAGCGTACAGTCCGAGAGGAGCTGGATGAGTCAGAGAGAACCAGAGGGGACAGTGCGATGTCTCTCGAGTTGCAAACAGGTCCACCTGATCCTGGGCAAAACTCTCTATATCTGCTTCACCACCTCAGGGTGAAGTCTTCATTCCCCGGGCCTCGGCCCCTGCCTCGACAG